AACCAAAAAGCATAGGCCCCTCCTGCTGTCAATCTTTAATGTACCAATCCCTTATGAATTTAATCACTTCTTTTAACCAATTATAATGCACACCTGAAACACATTCAACCACAAAACAACCTTTAAACATTCAATTAAAAAGTATTAGAACATTTGTAATCTTTAATGCAATTCTGGTTTAATAAAGTGGTCACATAATAACTTTAAATGTGTTATTTTCTATGTTTGTTAATTTCACCATAGCTTTGATGGTTTTATTACTATAGTCTGTAAACACTGTAAATATGTAATAATAATTTAAAATAATAATAAAGCAAACAGATACAATAGGTGCCTCTGCCCCTTTGGGGTGCCTCAGACCTGTAGCATGGACACTATAGACCATTTCACAAGATGTAAACAACACTGGTCCAGAAGCACTTCCTGTTTCAGTTTTTAACTGTTTTCTTTATTTCACATGTAAAAAAAAAACATCTTAAAGATGTTTGTTTAACTTTTTGATTCAGTTTTAAATGTTCTGTTGGTTGTATTTTATCCCAGCTTTTATGTAGTGTTAAAAAACTGAAACAGGAAGTGCTTCTGGGCCAGTGTTGTTTACATCTTGTGAAATGGTCTATAACAAACTTAACACTATAAGTGCCACAAGCGGTCATTTTGACCGTTAGATTGCAAACTCTATATCTTTAATGATAAATACCCAATTGAGAGATTAATGCATTCATTATATTAGGCTATCTTTTAAAAACAAAACAACACCCAACAAGTTTAATTATTCATTTATAAATAATAATATCATTATTAGGCTAGCCCGTAATTATTGCATATTCACAACAGATAGGCTATATTCTATATCCATTCAACGTACTGTAACTCAGAACAAGATAGGCCTAATAACAACTAAAAGTATCTTATTTAGATACTATTTTGACTGTGCAAGGAACTTAGCTTTAATAAATATTAAACTTACAGAATGCAGCTTTTGGCCACCAGGGACACTCATTTAAAATAATAACAAAAGACATTAAATTGTGAGTCAAATGAGGATTGATTAGGTAGGAGGCATGATACAGGCAAGGTTTGCATTGATCGTTAGTTGGTTGTATACCAAGGTACATAATATTATATATACATAATAGTACACAAGACAGTAAATCATTTACACAATGCTATGAAGCGTGTTCAGTTATAGTTCAGTTAGTCTATGATTTATGCCGCAAAGTCTGTATTAAAGATTGTTCCTGTCTTCCCACTGTCTCTCTCTTGCACATGCACTCTCTTCCAAAGGAATGTGGTCGTAAAACCTCCTTATTAACCCTGTAACATGACACTGTTTCAGCCCTGTTGTTTAGTTCCTTTGGGATGTTAGTTTTGGAGTTTCATAAACCTTTGTATATAATTAATAATTTGTGTGTGTCTGATGGGTCCAGACCTTACAACAGTGAGAGAGACAATGTCACGATTTATGAATTTGGTGTCTCCTTTCTCGTCTAATATACATGTGAAATAAACTGTTCAGCAGATCTAGAAGAAAATGGCGTCATAGTCCAGCTTAAGTAAGTGCAGTGATGGTTCATTTTTGTTGTTACTCTATTTGATATACACTCACCTATCTACAATCTACAATGGTTTATTAGGAACAGGTTCATTTTCTCTTGAATGCAATTATCTAATCAACCAACGCCATGGCAGTTGCTTCAATGCATTTAGGGATGTGGTCCTTGTCAAGATAATTTCCTGAACCAAACTGAATGTCAGAATGGGAAAGAAAGGTGATTTAAGCAATTTTGAATATGTATGATTGTTGGTGCCAGACGGGCCGGTCTGAGTATTTCACAATCTGCTCAGTTACTGGGATTTTCACGCACAACCATTTCTAGGGTTTACAAAAAATGGTGAATAAAAGGGAAAAACATCATATATGCAGCAGTCCTGTGGGCGAAAATGCCTTGTTGATGCTAGAGGTCAGAGGAGAATGGGCCGACTGATTCAAGCTGATAGAAGAGCAACTTCTGAAATAACCACATGCTACAACCGGGGTATGTAGCAAAGCATTTGTGAAGCCACAACATGCACAACCTTGAGGCGGATGGGCTACAACACCAGAAGACCCCACCGGGTACCACTCATCTCCACTACAAATAGGGATAAGAGGCTACAATTTGTAAGAGCTCACCAAAATTGGAGAGTTGAAGACTGGAAAAATGTTGCCTGGTCTGATGAGTCTCGATTTTTGTTGAGACATTCAGATGGTAAGTTCAGAATTTGGCGTAAACAGAATGAGAACATGGATCCATCATGCCTTGTTACCACTGTGCAGGCTGGTGGTGGTGGTGTAATGGTGTGGGGGATGTTTTCTTGGCACACTTTAGGCCCTTTAGTGTCAGTTGAGCATCGTTTAAATGCCACTGCCTACCTGAGCATTGTTTCTGACAATGTCCACCCCTTTATGGCCACCATGTACCCATCCTCTGATGGCTACTTCCAGCAGGATAATGCACCATGTCACAAAGCTCAAATCATTTAAAATTGGTTTCTTGAACATGACAATGAGTTCACTGTACTAAAATGTCACAGTCACCAGATCTCAACCATATAGAGCATCTTTGGGAAGTGGTGGAACGGGAACTGATGAGCATCCCGGAAATCTACATCAACTGCAAGATGTACTAAAATGGCTATCCTATCAATATGGGGCAACATTTCTAATGAATGCTTTAAGCACCTTATTGAATCAGTGCCACTTATGCCGAGTTCAGACTGCATGATTTTAGCCACGATTTTGGCTCGCCGACAGGTTTTGAGAAATCGCCGACAAATGCCCGAAATCACAGGCAAATCGGCGCTCGTTCACGCGAGTGACAATCACGCAGTGTGAATGAGCAAAGACGCGAACTGAGAGAATCACCGACGAGTCGCCGACGCCCGTGAGATATTTGGCATGCTAAATATCTGGACCTGTCGGCGATTCAAAATCCTGCTGTGTGAAAAGTGTTTTGACTGAAAACTACATCGGCGATCACCGGCAGCCAGTGAGAGAGCAAGATACAGAGCAGCAGGGAGTTCGGGGAGGAGTTATAGATCACATATCAACATGATATGGCATTGTTTCAACAAAAAAAGCTTCTTCTCGGTCTATTTGGACACAATAAATGGAAGAAAAATTAGTAGAAATTTGGCAGGAGCACTCGTGTCTGTTTCACCAGCTGTACCACAACCGGGTCGAAAAAAAAAGTCTCACGTGAGAACTCCGGTCTTGCATGTGTGGTGTCGCGCGTTGTTTCCTTTTCATATCTCACGCGTGTTTGTTGTGAAATGTAGTTTGCGTGCAGCGTGCTAGACAGAGTCTGTCGGCGATTTTTCTAAAGTCATGCAGTGTGAAACCTTCTGTCGCCGATCCATCGTCCAGTGTGAACACAGCAGCGACTGAATGCTGGCCAAGATAGTCATGCAGTGTGAAAAGAGCAGCGACCTGTCTACTTTGAAAATCGTGCAGTCTGAAAGAGCCATTAGGCAGTTCTGAATGCGAAAGGGGGTCAAACACAGTATTAGTATGGTGCTCCAAATAATCCTTTAGGTGAGTATATATATATATATATCACCGGGGGTCGAGGGTGGGGGTGGGGGTGGGGGGTTATTCAGATAACCGACCACCCCCTGTCCCTCTCTGACTCCCAAACTGAACGGTCACCCCTGGGAGGAGCCGACACAGGAGGCACACGACAGAGGACCACGAAGACAGAGGTAAGTTTCAAAGGAGTAACAATCTTTATTGAACAACGTAGCGAGGAGCGCCAATTGAATAGGCTTCACTGTCCTCCAGGTATCCTTCGACTACGGTCGGACACGGATCGGCCATCACCGTGCCTCTCAGACGGCGGCTTCAGGGCTCCGTTCACCAGCAGCGCTGCAACTTAGAAACTCAGACAGTAAGTGTGACCGGTAAGGAGTCTTCACAGTACAAAGTACTCTCGTCGATGCATAGTAATGTAACAGTAATTTAAAAAGCTTACTTTCCCCCAGCAATGCTGCAGACTTCCAGAACTTGAGTAGTAAGTGTAACAAGTGGGAACCCTCCCGTACACAGTACTCTCTTCAGTTCACAGCAGGAAGACAATGGGTTAAAAGGTTACTTCACCGGAGATGCTGCTTACTTCTTCTCCACAGTACCAAGTACTCTCGTCGGTGCCAGAAATGGAACAGTAGTTTAACCGTTTCAGACTTCCAGAACTCGAGCAGTAAGTATAGCAAGTGGGAACCCTCACTGTACACAGTACTCTCTTCGGTTCACAGCAGGACGACGATGGGTTAAAAGACTACTTCACCAGGAATGCTGCCTGCTTCTTCTCCACAGTACAAAGTACGCTCTGCGGTGCATAGGAGCAAGACAAAGGTTAAAAGATTACGTTACCAGCGGTGCTGCATGGTTCAGTTCACAGTAGTCGAGACAGTGGGTTAAAAGATTACGTTACTAAGCGTGGGCTGCATGGTTCAGTTCACAGT